CAGGGCACTCACCAGGAGTATTTCTTGGTGCCTGAGGCTTTGCAGCAGAAGGTCACATTCTGGCCTGCCTCTCTCACTCGGGACTCGGGGTGCTTCACCAGGTGGGGCTTCTCTGAGGGCAAAGGTGGCAAAGGTCAGGGCACTGCCCCATCCCAACTCCTCCCAATGACACTTCCTAAGAGTAGGGTCCATCCTCTCCTTCTAGGGACGCCCTATTCCCCCAAGTCAAGTTCACCCCACTCTGCTCAACATGATGCCCCATCTTAATGCTTCTCTGCAACTTATGTCTTACCCTGCGCCTTCAATGACTGCATCACATCTCATTTCTTCCCCCAGCAACCTTGACCTATCACACCGCCCCAATCCCGAGTGCTTGGCGTCACCCAGAACTTCCTCCCCAGTTTCTTGATCCCCTTTGCCACAAGGCACTTACCTAACTTGTCAAGAACAATAGTGACCACAGCAGATATGGAGCTGTTGGCCTGGGCCTGGGCCGTACCAGCAGAGAAGCCATCCACTTGGGCACTGACGTTGGTCTGGCTGCTGGCACACACTCCAGGCATCCGGAAGGTTCCATGGGCATCGCTGGTGGCTACAGTGCCAGGCCAGTCTCTCAGGGAGACCTTGGCCCCTGGTAGCGGCCGGCCAGATGGAGTGACCACTGAGCCCAGGAGGATGTGATTGGGGCATCCACACGTTTTGGGGCTGCACCCTGGAGGACACAGGGAGGCAGAGGGGCAGAAGGGCCTACACAGCAAAGGTGCCTCTGCATAGCCCTGCTTAGAGCAGCCCCTAGTGTGAAGGGGAGGATGGGGCTGAGTGGTCAGGGCCGGACAGGGGGAGGGATCTGAGGTCCAGAGAGGTGAGGAAGATGCCCTGGGAGGGAACAGGGGAGGTAACTCCTTCCAGCATGAGAGAAAACGTCCAGGCGGGGGCTGGGGGCCCGGCAAGGGGCTGGGTCTTGAGCCCAGAAGATCTCCCTCCCCTCCCAACACCGCGGTTTCTCCACCAAATGGAAAATTCCACTGGAAACTTCAGGGCAGAGACGCCACAGGGAGAGCAGAGCCAGGCGGGTAGGGTGGGGACCCCACCACCCCATTGGCCATCATGCTCCCCCACCCGACTGCGGGCTCTGCCGGCACAGTCTCCAGAGCATGTTTGTGAAGTCCAGGCCGGATCGGAATTTCCAGTCGCCTCCTGGCTGGCCTGGTGTCTGGCTCTGGGAAGGCCTGGTATCGTGTCTGCCAGGGTGTGAGCACGTGCCCATGTGGGCGTGTGGGACAGGCAGGGGCTGCGAATGCCGCGTGTGTAGCCCCCAAGTGCGTCTGTGTGTGTCCGTGTTCACGGGGACATCCCCACACTCGGCCGTGCGCACAGGGGAAGCGCCCCCTCAGATGGGCCCAGGCCTGAACACGACCCGGGGATGTTCACCTGTCCACATTCACCAATGGTCCTCGAGAGGAGGAGCCAAAAGGAAAGGCAGGGCCAATCTCCTCGTGAACCGAGTCCGGGCCCTCCAGGCCCCGCCCCCGTACCCAGGCCCCGCCTCTCTTCTCCAGGCTCCGCCTATTTAATCCTGGTCCCGCCCACCAGGCTCCACCAAACTAGCCCCTCCCTTCTAGGTTCGTCCCTCTACCGGCCCTGCCCCTCCTACCTGGACACCGAGGCCGCACACACTTCTGTGCCTCCAGGGGACGCCCGGGACATGCGTCCCCAGTGGGGCTTGGGCAGTGGCGGCGGCGCAGACGACGACCTGGCCCGCAGCTCCCTGAACAGGGACCCCACGGGCCCCACGCTCCCCACGCGGCCTCTGCAGGGAGGGCGATGGGGAGGGTCAGGCGGCCGCCCACCCCAGGGACTGCATCTTGAACAGCTGTTGACAGTGTGGGACCGGAAGACTCCCGCCACGTGCACCCAAGGGCAGTGCTCCGAACAGAAGCCCTGCCCACTGCTCCCCTCAAGGCTCCCCAAGGCGCACTGTCGAAGGTGCAGTTGAGGTACCTCCCCCCCTCCCTCCCCGAGGTTAACCTGCTGTTCCACCTGCGTCTCAAACACATTGTGGGCTCAGAACACTCCGGCACAGAACGGAGCTGGACAAGTGAAGGCAGCGAGAGAGAGATGTGCTCCTCGGGGCGCCTTCCTGCCCGCGACCTGGGGCCCAAGCTAAACCCAGCTCCCCCTGCAGAAGCTCCGCCCCATCAGGTCCTGCCCTGTGCTAGGGCCCTGCTGCCGAAGGACCCGCCCCTCCCCCGCCACCAGGCCTAAATCCGCAAAAACCTGGGACCCCCTCCCACCCCGCTTCCCCGCCCCTCGGAGCCCCGCCCTCACCGCGAGGGCAGCGGAAGCGCACGTGGTAGTTGGAGCAGCGGCGGCCGCGCGGCTGCTCGCGGTTGAGGCACCAGAAACCGCGCGTGGGGTTCAAGTGCACACGCTCGCCGACTGTGGACGGCAGGGCCCAGTCCGTGGTGCGCGCCTCCAGCGCCAGCGGCCGCGGGCACACGCGCGCCGGCCCGTAATAGAAGCGGATGGCAGCCAGGCTCTCGAAGTCGCCCTCGCCGCCCGGGTGATCCACGTTGAACCAGGACGTCCACTCGCTGGCCTCTGTGGGCACCATAGGCACTTGGACCCGGGCTGAGGCCAGTCGGGCCCCATCTGCCTGCTACGGGCCTTACATGCTGGCTAAGTAGGGGTCCTCCCCTCCCACCCCAATGAGCGAGCAGCGCCGGGCTAGCCCCACCCACCCCGGCCCCACCCTGATGCAGAGCCCTCCAAAGCAGAAGGAGCTGTGAAGGGGTCGCCGGAAGGCTGCCCGGTGCCTGAGCTGGCGCATCAGTGCACGCAGAGATCTTGCCACTGTCTCACCTGTCTTCACCCTCAGAATTCAGAACACTTGAGGCGAGACATGAAGGCCGCTGGAGAGGCCTGCCTGACACCAGCCCGAGCTGTAGCTTTCCACTGCCTGGCAGCTTCTTGTTAGTGCCAGCCGGGGCCTTGCTCACTGAACCCACCACGGGAGGGAAGGGGCTGGCCTCCCATATCAACCCCCCAGAATCCTTTTCTGGTTCAAGAGCGATCAAATAGAACTTTCCTGGCCTGGGAACTGGAGACCCAGGTTCCAGAACTCCTGCTTTCCTGTATGGCCTGGGCAGGTGGTCCCACCATCCCACCACCATCCCTCTTCCGTTTCCTCCTTGACAAACAACCCGATTCTCACCTCCCTGCTCCTAACACAGATCTCTTGGGGCACCACTTCCAGGGGTTGTCATGTCCAGAATGGCACTGGGCTCTTCACCCAGCTCGTGTTTCCTCCTCATATGTCCCACCAGCCAGAGCCTACACAACAGTCCACAGCAGAGCCAGGGCTTGGACCCTGGCTAACTCACCTTCCCAGTCCTCCAGGGCTGGCGAGGGCTGGCCAGGGTGCAGCGATGGACCTTCGAGGCCCCACGTGGTCTCCGTGGGCTCCTCAATAAGGGTCGTGCCTGTGGAAGAGATGAGGAGTGGGAGGGAGGGGGGAACGTTGACGGGAATCCCTGTGAGCTCCTTTTATGCAAGGTGCTGCCATGATCATCCCCATTTCACAGGGGAGAAAACCGAGGCTCTTAGAAGCCAGAGCCCAGCTCTGGCTGACCCCAAGCACTGCAGCACCCCGGCCTCCAGGAGGCCTCCTCTGACCCGAAGCCCCAGGTCCATAGGCCTTGGAAGTCTGTCCACGCTCCTCCCCAGACCAAGTTCTCCCCCTAGATGTGTTCTGCCCTCGGGCTGAGCCGCATTCCCCTTTGTGCATTTGCCTGTTGGAAGTTGCTCCCTCACTCTACCTTCCATCTGCACTCGGGGCCCATGCTGCCAGCAGGAGGTCTTTGGAATTGAGCCTGGCGTCTCAGGCCTCGAGTTGGGCTGGGCAGTGACCTCAGGCAAGTCCCTATCCTCTTGAAGCCTCAGTCTCAATGGGCCCCATTCCCCCTCCACCGAGTGTTGCAGAGATGAGACTTTCTTTTCTGAATGGGAGTTGTGTGTGTGAAGGAAGGGAGGGGGTGGGTAAGAGAGGCCAGGACCAGATGATCCAGGGTCCAGGCGCTGGGGCTGAGGTTGAGATAGGTACCCACGGTCACCGGGACCCAGAAAAGCCTAGTTCATATCCACATTCCGAGCGCCCCTGCCGTCTCTTGGAGGAGAGAAGAAAGTGGGGAAGGTCTGTTCGCCCAGGAGGTCCTGGGCTCGTCTCCCAGGTGCCCTCTCACTCCCCCCACCCCCGAGTCGGGAAGCGAGGGTCCCTGGGTTCTCTCTCCAGACGCGGGGGGCATTCCAGGCCCCCTGCCAGACGTCAGGCGCCTGTGGGGCTGTGCTGGGGACTGGGGACGCCTCACCTCGGGCCCCCGCCAGGTGCGCGGCGGCGACACAGAGGCAGAGCAGGGGTGGCAGTGATGCCATGGCCGGGTCCGAGAGTCCGAGGGAGGGTCCGGGCTCCGCTGCGCGCTCGGGTCGGACTCCCGCGGGTCTGGCGGCCGCGGGGGCTGAAGGTGGGGGCGGGACGCCACCGCAGGCCCCGCCCCGCCCCGGCCAGGCCCCGCCCGGCCAACGCCCGGCCAACTTCTTTGCCCGCGGTGATGTGTGTGAGCAACCGCTCCGGGTCGCCCCCCCTCGGTGCGTTCGGCTGCGCCTCCGCCTTCGGAATGGCCTGCGCCCCCTGTCGCCGGCTGGAAGCCCCTCCCTCCACCCCTCCATTCTCCACGTTGGGTCCCCAGCTGCCGGTGGGCAGTGCGTCTTGGAATCGGGCCTGGAGCTACCCGAACCTTCACGCTTCGGGCGGCCAGAAACCCTCCTTGGAGTCCAACTTCGATCCAGTGGCCTTAGGCCATCGGAGCGGCTGGAAGTCCCAGAATCTCCCCTTTGCGGCGGTCAGCGGGAAGTCCCACTCTCCGTCCGCCCTCCGCCCCTCCCGCCTGGGGCCGCCCCGAGTCTGCCCCCCCGCGGCGCACAGAGGAGGCGAGGCCAGGAGGTGGTGGGATGTGTGTTTATTGGGGCCCGTCCAGGCCGCGTGGGCACGCGCAGCGGTCAGAGCGCCGCCACGCAGTCGGTGCCCGTGTAGCCCGGCAGACTCAGCGCGAACTTTCGGCGCACGTCGTCGGGCACGAACCTGCCAGCCACGAAGTGGTGGCGCCCGGAGAAGCGGCCAGCGCAGCGCTTGGGCGCACCCAGTGACACCAGCACGTCGGGCCGCAGGCCGTCCTCGGAGTCTTCGCCGGTCTCCGCATCCCAGCCTGAGGGAGGAGGGGAGGGAGAGGAGGTCAGGAGCTGGGAAGGGTGCTCACCCTCAGAGGAGAGTCCCAGCTTCTGCTTTCTGACAGTGTCTTGATCAGACCTGCCTCCCCAAAGAACGGAGCCTCCACCCTCAGACCAGTCTCCTTCCCTCCTTGGAGATGTTTTCCCTCCCCCTCTGGCCAGAGCCCTCATACTTTTCTGCCCCTCCTCCCACCCTGCTACCCAATCGTCCTCCTCCATCTGATTCAGCCTCTGCCTGCAGACTGCATCATTTCCACCTGCTGCCCTTTCCTGGTCAGACCCGTGCCTCTTCTGGCGTCTATCCCCACACCTCCCTTCCTGTCAATCCTGAGCTTCCCCGCTTAGACTAGAACCTCTTTCCACCCAGACTTCCCAGGCAGCCTCCACTCTCTGGCCAGATCCCCACTCAAAGGACAGACTTTCCTCCATCCGCAAGCAAGCCTCTCCTATCTGACCTCCTTGCCCCAGGTTCTTGCCTCTGACAGGAAGTGCCTCCTTCCCCACCCAACTTGAGCACTGATCCTCCTCCCTCTGCCCAGTACTCCTCCCTCTGATCTGACACCTCTGCCTCACCCTCATGCTGTATCTTGCCTTTTTACTTGGCAAGACCACACCACCTCACTCATTGGTTCACAGCCTCTGCCACCTCTGAAATGACCCTCCACCTTCAGACTAGGAGCTTTGCCTCCTCTCCTGCCTCTGACTGGAGTCTGAAACCATTAACTAAAAGCCTCTCCCCTCTGACTTTAATCTTTCCTTCTATGAGCCTAGCCTCCACCCTCATACCAGACAGCCCACCTCCTCATAGCCACCCCACCCCACCCCTGCTCTTCAGCACCCTGCTGAGATGGCCCTGAGGTCTTGCAAGCCAGGGGATGTCCCTCTGAGTTTGGCCACCCCCTGTGAAGGGTCCGGCTGGCCAGCGGCTGTTTGTTCCGTCTGCCCGTGGCCTAATGGCTCCAACAGGCATAGGGCGGCGGCCAGGACGGGCGAGGCCTTTGCTGAGTGAGCTCACGTCTGCCTGGTGACTGGGCCAGGGTGGGCATTGGGCACATTGGGCTGAGCATCGTGGGGAGGGGATGCAGGATCACCTGGGCAACAACCTCAGGGTCCCCATCTGAGGGATGGACATGGCCCTCTGCCATACCCAGGGTGCACAATCCATCCCCAAGGAAACTGAGGCTCAGAGTAGGCAGACAAACTGGGTAACAAAAGCTGGAGAACAGGGGCCCCCAGGTCTCCCAGGCCCTGACGCACCCCCCTCCACCTGGCATGCCTGAGGGAATGTCCAGGCTCACGAGGGGGATGGACAGCAGCTTGAGTGTGGCCAGCGCACGTGTGCAGGGGCCCCCAACCTCACGGGGCTCCACGCCAGGGCCCAGCACAGCATCCACCACCAGCCCGTAGGCATCATTGATGAGCTGGACCTGGGAGGGAAGGCAAGGTGAGGGGCAGCCTTGGAGCACCATCCCCCACCTGCCCCTTATTGTCAAGGAGTGCTGACCTCTGTGGGCAGATAGGATAGGAAGGGGATGTCCATCTTCTCACACTGGGTGGTCAGGTCCTGGTGCAGCGGGTCCAGTGAACGTGTGGGGTAGAAGATGGTCGGTTCATACTCCTGGGGGGGGGAGGGGGCAGGAAAGGGTCAGTGTGGGGGCTGCCCAAGCTTTTCCAGGCTCTGCCAAGCCTCCAGACCTGGTACCAGGCAGCAGCACTGGGCTTATTCTGTAACTTGTCCAGTCTCAATGTTCCCCTGGAACACTACCAAGAGGAGGAAGTGACTTCTGCAGGGACAGAATGGGGAGTGGCCCTGGGACACCAAGGGGGTCTTTGCTACTCACAAACACCCGCAGGTGCCGGGCACAGACCAGCCCTACCGCCCCATTCTGCTCCGGTCCGCACACGACCAGCACCGTCTTCTGCTTCCGGGAGAGAGCAGGCAAGGGGAACACCTGGTGGGGGCACAGCAAAGGCAAAGGCACGTAGCTTGGAATCCCTCCTTGATCGGGTGGGGAAATTGAGGCCCCAGGTAGAGGAAGGGATGGGGCTTGGGAGCAATCTGGGTGAGGGGCTGGGCCACTTGGGGCCTCAGTTTCCTCCCTGGAGATGCAGAGGATCTGCCCTCAGGATCTGCCAAGCCAGAACAGGAAAGCATGTCTCCAGCCACCATTGAGAGCCCAAGAGCCTGGACTGTGGTTTGTTTATTCTCGGCCTGAGTTGCAGACATTCTTCCACCTTTTTCCACTGCAGTGGCTTCCTCTCCCCCACCCATTTTCCAGGCCCTCCCAGAGGCCCCAGAGTTGGTGGGGAGGTACTTTTCCAACCTGCCATGCCCTGTCTCTCTCCCCCTGTCTCCTTCCACTGGCCTATCTTCACCTCCCTGTCTCTCAGTATCTCTCAGATTCTCTCCGTGTCTCTCTGTCTAGTCTCTTTCTGTCTTTCTCCTTGTCTCTGTCTCTCTCTCTCTCTCTCTCTCTCTCTCTCTCTGTCTTTGTGGGCCTGTGCATCCCTCTCTCTTTCTCTCTTTAATACAGCAGTTAAGCATGCTGGTGGTAGAGTCCCAGCCTACCTTGACTCTGTCACTCGGCCCCCTCTCCTCTCCCAGCCTCGGTTTGCCTCTAATATATAGAAGCTCTGACAGTCTCATGGGGCCTCTCCCTGACTCCACCGGGCCTGGCCATACTCTAACCTTCAACCACACAGAAGGGAAATTATTCCATTTTTTAGTCTCCTCCCCAAGGTCTGAGGTCTGACTGACACTGACCAGGCCTGCAACCCATAACACCAGAGTCAGGGAGGGTGACACTGGCTGAGACCAAGGGGCTTCTGGATGTACTTGGGGCTTTCAGGGCAAAAATGAGACGAGTTTACTACACTGGCTTTGCTTCTGTGGCTTAGATTTCCTCCATTTCTTTCTCTTTTGGGCACCTCACTCAGGATATGTTTCATTTGGAAATAAAAACATTTAAGTAAAAAAAATTGAGTTCACATAGAGAAAAATATTGAGTTTTAAAAAAATATACAGTGGTAATAAGAAGAGAAAAAGGGGAGGAAGAGGAGAAGGATTATATACTGGAGCCCTGACTATTGGGCATTTTTCTAAGGAGTTTGTTTATTAACTGGTGTCAGTTTATTATTCTTGTTCAGAGGTAACTTGGGGCAAAGCACCGGATACTAGTATTATCGTTGCTATAATTTGCCAGTTCGTTGCAGACACCTCAAGTGTTTGCCCCAGAGCCAGACACAGCTATGCTTCCCAATCCCTGGGCCATGGGGGTCATGCAGCTAGATCTTGGCTCTGGTAGGCTGGCCATCCGGCTGGGGTCAAGGTCAAGGGGCAGGAGTTAGGTACCTTGGTCACAGCCACAGCACTAGCATGGCCACATAACTCCACCAGCTGCTGCCGCCCAAAACGATAATCCTCCAGCAGCTCCCGTTCCAGAGCAGCTGCCTCCTCCGTGCTGGGGGACAGAGTTGAGAGAGACGCTTAGAGACACAGAGAGATGGAGGCAGAGGCTCAGATGGAGTCAGAAATGTACCACCAATGTCCCGAGCCAGTCTCTGATGCCCGCCCCCCCCCCCCGCCCCCCCAACCCCAATCTGTTTCCCCATCCGATGCGCAAGCGATTGAATGGAACCGGGCAGGCAGCTGGAGGTTTGAACCGAAGCCTGGTGCGCCGGCGCCCTCTGGTGGGCGAGGAAGCACGTGGTGGCGCATGTTGGTTCTGTTCTTCCTACGCGCGGAAGACTGAGTCCCACCCAGAGGCCTCCAGCCCCCAAGGTGGGAGGAACCCAGAAGGAGGCATGGAGCCTGAAGGACTGTGATGGGGGCGATGGGTGGATTGCAAGCAGAGGAAGTCACTGACTGAGCTCCAGGACATTGGAGGGTACTGACTGGACTGGGAGCGGGGGACGGGGGACTGAGGGAGGTGTGTGAAGGCTGCAGAGGCGTTTGACAGCTCACTTAGGGAGGTGGGATGTGACCCTCTTCAAAGATAGTTGTAAAACTCAAATAATTGTGCCTAGGGAGATGGAGCCAACTCGCTTGAGACAAAACTCTACTACGGAGTTGGTTGCTGGAGTGACTGGGGTCTATTTCATCTTCCCAAGCCTTGCTTCCTCTGCAAAAGTGAAGGTGGGATGGGCTCGGTTAATTTTGAGGGCCAATTCAAAATGCAAATGTGGGGCCCCTTGTTCAAAATTAAGAATTTCAAGATGGTGATGGCAGAGTGTTAAACCAAGTGTTGGGCACTTCTAACAGCAGGGACCAAGGTGGCTGGCCCTTGCTTAAGGGCCTTCCAAAGGGCCTGGACTTGGTGGTGGCAGAGAAGGAGAGCTGGCTTTGAAGACCAGGTGTTCCTCACTCCAGAATCGGGTTGGGCAGCTGGCAGGACCTTCCTGCTGGGGAGTAGCATCTACCCCCAGTTCAGCACACCCTAGAGAGGGTAATAATAACAATAATAGAACTAGGGCCCTACCGGGTTTGGCTCAGTAGATAGAGCCTCGGCCTGTGGACAGAAGGGTCCCGGGTTCGATTCCAGTCAAGGGCACATGTCCCAGTTGCAGGCTCAGTCCCCAGTAGGGGGCGTGCAGGAGGCAGTCAATCAATGATTCTCTCTCATCATTGATATTCCAAACTCTCTCTCCCTCTCTGAAATCAATAAAAACATATCTAAAAAAATAAGAAAAATAAAAAGCACACGCAATTAAAATAATAATATTAATAGCAATAGAACTAGGCCCAGAGAGTTGGAAAAACAACTCAGAGAAGCCAAGTGGGTGGCCCAGGGTCATGCCAGAAGAGTGGGGAAACAGACTTCCACCTTTGGTGTCTGTCTTCAGAGCCACAAACAGAGTATGAACAAAGCAGCAGCAGAAGATCTACACATGGGGCAGAAGTTTGGGATGAATCCTAGATTTCCTCCTTCAGTTCCGTGAGTAGGAAAACCACAACCTTCCAGCCTATTTTGCAGTGTGATTAGGCCAAGCAGCAGGAGGGGCAGAGGTGGAAAATGAGGACTGCTGTGGATGGGGAGTCAGGGAAGGCTTCCTGGAGGAGCTGGCCTGGTGCACGATGGTAGATAATCCAGGTGGCAAGAACAGCAAGGGCCAAGGCCTCTTGGTGGAAGAGCTTGGCAGGTTCGAGGGACAGAAGAGAGACCAGTGTGGCTGGAGCAGTGAGAGAAACAGAATACATACTTTGGGGACCCATGTAGATGGGGGAGATGAAGGCTGAGGGCAGGGAGGTCACATGCCCTGAGATGGCAGCAGAGCCAGATTCAACCCCTAACTTGTCTTCAGCCAATGTCAGATGAGGTTGAAGTACCAGGTGGGAAAAGGAGCTCACGGTGGGGCTAAATAAGAGCAAACCCATCCCTCCCCCCTCCCTGGCATGGAAGGCCAGCCCAGCTCCTGTGAAGGGTGTTTGGGAACGTGGCTTATTTCTTCACAGGAGAGTGGAGAGTGGGATGAGAAGGGTGGAGGATCACCCATTCCTCTTCTTCCTCTGTCCCAAAGCTTTGATCTCATCACCACTTGGAAAATTATCTTCCTGGCTCACCGGTCATTAGAGTGATAATGGGGAGTCCATAGGAGAGGGTGGTCTAGGCTAGGACCCTGAGGTGGAGGCTATGGGTAGGGTATGAGTGGGAATCAGGGCAGAGCCATGTGGGACCAGGGGGAGGGGGAGGCACCTCAGTTATGAGAGTTCCTCTTGTCCCCCCAGCCTACCCGCCAGATGAGAAGGGCTTCGAGGCCCAGGATTTCCCCGCCAGCCCCAGAAGGGCTGAGGTGACCTGGTTTCAAAGGGAACTTCCAAAATGCTTCCAGAAGGGGGCTCTTTTGTTTCTTGTTTTTAAAAACATTGGTTTCTTTCTTTCTTTTAATATATTTTATTGATTTCAGAGAGGAAGGAAGGAGAGAGAGAAACATCAATGATGAGAATCACTGATCAGCTGCCTCCTATACCCACCACACTGGGAATGGAACTGTGACCTCTGGGTTCATAGGTTGATGCTCAATCCCTGAGCCGCGCCAGCCAGGCTGGAGGGGTCTCTTTTGGAGGTGAAGCCACGAGGCCAGGATGACCATGCCAGATCCTCCCTGTGCTCTCGGCTCCGTCTGTTTCTCTCCACCCTCATGTCTCTTCTCACCAGCCTGCCACTACTGCCCACCAGGCTGCCAACAGCAGTCTCATGCCCCCTCCCCCCCCCCCCCCCCGCCCCAAACTCCACACCACCTAAGACGGGGGCTTTGAAAATTTGAATACCAGATCATATCATGCCGTTGCAAACCTTCTTAAGGCTCCCCAGTATTCAGAGAATATTTAAATTCCTCATCATACCTACATGCCCCCCATTATGTCTCTAAACTCATTGCCTCCTCTCCCCTAGTTCACTAGGTTCTACTCCCACCCACCCCACAGAGCCCCACCACTCTTCAATTGGCATTTGAGGTGCTCCACTGTCCCCCATGCCAGATGAGGCCATTGCTTGTTTCTGGAACATTCATCTCCCCCTGCCTGGGATGTGCTGGGTGTTTCAGCTGAATCTGGATAGCACCAGAATCTGGATCTGACAATATCTGCCCTGAGAAGAGAAACTGATCAGACAGTGGGCAGACTTCTGAGAAATGAATCTGGCTTTCTCCAGCCCTGCTTGGTGTCCCCTGTCACACAGGATGACTCAGAACAAGGTGTGAGACTGCCATAGTTGCTGGCTCCAGACCCCCGACAAGTGGCCCAGGTGTTCAAAAATGGCCCTAGCCTTGGCTCAGGCAGTGGCTCCCCTCCGGAGACCTGTTTCCTTGTCTAGACAAGGTGGTAATAGCAGGGGGATCACCATGGGGGGTGTAAGCATTTGAGGAGCTGAGATTGAGTTGAGATGGGGGCTCCAGGGTACCTGGGAAATGGAAAGGGGAGGTGGGCCCGGGTGGGGTAAAGGGTTATGGAGGAGCCAGTAGCAGTGATGATGAATAATTCATGGAGCGGGTTTGCTACGACTGTCGTTTCCCTGGCAATGCAGCGTCAAAGGCGGGAAGCGGCGGGCTGTCTGCAGTGAAAGGCGGGGTGGGCCTCGGATTCCCCCGGCCCCCTCCCAGCCATGCTCCTTTCCCCATTATCCCCCTCGGCCCTGCCCCTTCCCCACAGAGTCCGGGTATCCCTATCCCCGCTGACCTGAGGAAACGCCGATCCTCGGGCGCCTCCGCCGGGTCTCGGCTGGCCGCACCAATCATGGCCAAGGTGAGCCTGTGCGGGCAGCGGCAGCCGGGCAGGCACCGTTTTTAAAGCCTATCCCTGAGCAGGCCCCGCCCACTCCCACCCGCCAATCAAGAGGCGCCGAGAAGGCGCTTTGCTAGGGCACCGGTCGCTGGTCGCAGGCGGATTTAACTCTTTTGTGGCAGAAGCACAGCTGCTGGCGGGATGTAAGGACGCCCAGATGTCCTTACTGGCCAGGAAACGAAGTCTGGAGGGGCAGAGTTGGGTCGTGATGGGTCGGTCACACCTGCTATGGGGTCCTGGCCTGGGAGTAAGGGGACACCTCTGCCGCCTGCCCCTGCCATTGCTCCTCTCCAGGCCCCTATCCATCCCTGGAGGGGTGGGCTGCAGTCAAGCAGAATTTCAGCAGAGGTAGGGCAGTCAAGGCATATTTTGGAATCCAGGGCTGGTAGTGGATCCAGGGGCAGCTTATGTGTGTTTTTTAAGGTCACCCAGCTTGGCGTTTTCTGCTGAATTTCCAGGCCTAGTCCCTGAGTCCCCACATGGAGTGTGACCCAGCGGGGCCCCCCCCTCCCCCAGTCACTCAGTCCTTGGGACACAGGCAGGCAGGTCTCCAGAACATTTATTCACTCCACGGGCAGGGGGCGAGGTCCAGCGGCATTCCCTACGTGTACCAGACGAAGCCATAGGTGGCGTTGACAATCTCCTCATTGGTGCGCAGTCCATACAGCTCACCCATTATGGGGGGCACCCAGCGCATTGTGTGGAACACAGACTCGCCCACCTGAGGGGAAAGCAGGTACAGGTGCGGGTACTGGCCACTGTGTCAGAAGCTGCTGCCTTCCTCACCTCAATCCCAGCACCCACTGCCTCTCTCGGCTTCAAAGAGGTTTTCTGTGGAAGGTTGCACTTCTGCAGTGGCCTAGACCCTTGCCCTCCCTACAGGGGACCCACCTTCCAGTTGGGCACATCCTTCATGATGATGGCCTCCTCCTCCAGGTTCTCCCGAAGCATCTGCAGGACCCTGTAAGGATGGAGTGGGAGGTGGGGACAGGCCTGAGTACCCCAAGGGACCCCTGCCTAATGCACCTATCAGACCCCCCCTTACTCCCCCTCCAATCATCTCCTGCCACTTCCAACCCTGCACACACTGGCCTCTTTCTTTCCTTTCCTCTCCCTGGCAAACTTTTTTTTTTTAAATATATTTTTACTAGAGGCCCTATGCACGAAATTCGTGCATGGGTAGGATCCCTAGGCCTGGCCGGCAATCAGGGCCAATCTGCAGGGCAATCGGGGCCCCCCGCTGGCACCTGCCTTGGCTGGCCTGGGGCCTGCAGGCTGGGGTCAGCTCCTGCATTGAGTGTCTGCCCCCTGGTGGTCATTGGGCATCAAAGCGACCGGTCATTCCGCCATTCAGTAGATTTGCATATTAGGCTTTTATTATACAGGATTGATTTCAGAGAGGAAGGGAGAAGGAGAGAGAGATAGAAACATCAATTATGAGAGAAATCATCGATTGGCTGCCTCCTGCATGCCCCACACTGGGGATCAAGTCCACAACCTGGGCATATGCCCTGATAGGAAATTGATGCTCAACCACTGAACCACGCCAGCCTGACTCCCTGGAAAACTCTTACTATTCTCCTGCCCAGCCCCAACACCCCCTTCTTGCAGAAAAGCATTCCCGTTCTCCCCCTTGGTCTCCACTTTGTCTAGGGCCCTCTCCAAGGATGACAGCAGTTTGTGTGCAAGGATGCAGCTGCCAGTCCCCATGTGCATTTTGGCTGTGTCCCCGAACTGCAAGCTGGGGCACTCAGGCCTATGACCTCCGGACCCTGGCGGTCTCACCTTCGGTCCTTCTCTGCCTGCAACAGCGGCATCAGTGCGATGCGGGCCTCAAAGTCCTCGATCTGCAAGCGCCTGTGGAACCCCAAAACCAATACTTGGGTCAGATTAGGGTGGGCAGGGAGGGAGGCAGATGATGTGGCCCCTGGACATTCAGGGTGATGCACGGGGATGGTGGTTGGGGGAGAGGCGAGCAAGCAGGATAGAGCTTGGGCACTAGGCTCCGTCCACCAGGAGCCCGAGATGGGGAACCCAGTGAGCGCAGGCGTTGGTCCACAAGACTGCTGGCTTCACATTTTCTTTTCAATTAAAAAACTTTTTTTTTTTAAATCCTAAAAATAGCCCAAGTCTGTAACTGCAGGGAAGGAAGGGAAGTGTTCATTATGGCGCTCTGGGCCTTACAAAACCATGTCCCCTTCATCTCAAAATAACATTGGGGCATTCTTCTTCCCCCTGCTCTTCAGCATCTTCCAAGCCCCAGCCCTGCCTGTGCTAGGGGGTGGGGAGAGCAAGCCATATTGTGTCCCAGGGAGTAGCCTCTGGCCATATCCCCTCATCACCAGAAATCTTACAGAGGCACAAGGAAGGGGTAGATGAACTTCAACCCCTCTCCTGGCCCCAATCCCCAGGCTACTGCCCCCATCACAGCCACACTGTGGTCACTACTGTGTCCCCCAGGAGGCTGGGCCTGGTCTTGCCTGTCCAACACAGGGGCCCTAGCATCCAGCACCCATCAGGTGCTCCTGAGTATACTCAATAATGTGGAGCACCCTCCACGAGCTGAGCCTTCTCTAGCACCATCCTCAGAGATTCCTGGCCAAGTGGGGGATGCTAAGGACATATGACAGAGCCCAGCCAGTCAGAGGCTAATGACAAGGAGCCACCTGGCAGGGAATCAGATGAGCTCAGAGGTGACTGGAGTCTGAATTAAGGCCATGGTAGGTCTTGGTCCCTCAGGCCCTGCATGGCTGGCATGGCCACTGTCTTGCATGACCTGCTTTCCATGCCCCCATATCATCATTGCCTGGTTACCATGGACAACCTGGACACCCTCGAGTCCCCAGTGGCAGAGGCTGAAGGGGTGCCTGGTGAACACCTGGAGGCAAGCTCTTTGCTTACTAGTCAATCATTAAAGGTAAAATACAAAAATGGATTTGCTGGGTCCCCAAGACCTGGGGGTTGATGAGGGGCCCCAGTGTATACCAAGTCCACAGGCACATGCCCACCCTCACCTGCACGGTGCCTACCTGCGTTCACGATTCCACTTCATCATGCTCCAGTGCCCAAAGATCATGGCCCCAATGCCCAGCGCGAACATGCTGTAGCCTGTGAGGAGAGGAGCACCAGCTCAGCATCTGCATGCTGAACAGGCCACCCTGGTCATTTCTTCTCATGAGGCATATCCACTCGCTATACAAATAACCCCAGAAATACAGACGATGGAGAAGGTGAGAGTGCCCCGACCCCCTCCCGGAGATGGCTCGCATTTCTTCAGACTATTTTTTTCTCTGTGGAATGTCCACTGGCCCGCTTCCTTGGACACCCCCTCTTCCACAGCTGCAGACCACTCTCTATCATGTTTGCCCCTCTGCAGGCAGGGGACACCAAAGAAGCCTCAGCTTCTCTCTCATAGGCAAGACTGTGGCAGCAGCACCACCTCTGCCCCCATGCTGGGGTTTCTGGAAGGTATAGATTGGGCAGGGACTGCAGGAGGACTCAAAGGTCTAGATGTTTATGGTTGGATGGCCCTGGCAGCGCAATCTTCCTGGAGATTGTTTGGTTCCCAGTCAGCCAGCCAGCCCCTCAAAGATGGTTGATGCCCATGGCTGGGTTCCAGCTCCATGGTAGCTCCCAGCTGCCTGGGCCACCTCCGTGCATGCTGCTCACAGGGCCTTCCTCGTGAACGCAGGTAGGCCCCTGTGCGAGGCTGTCAGAGGCAGGCTGTGCCCTTCAGGGGTTGCCACCACCCCCTGGCCTCCTGGGTGCTGCTCCTGGCCCAGCAGGGTAGACACCCACCCCCTGTCCAAACCCAGGGGAACAGGCTGCCATGAATATTTACTGAGCTCCAGCAGGCATCCACTGTAATCCTGACTGACAGGTTGAGGGCCTGCTAGGGTCTTCAGGGAGTCCCAGACACCTGGGGCCTGGCTGGCCCTGCACCCCCTCATCTTTCGAGCATGGTCTCTTCTCTGGCCAGGCCTCCAGGTTGCTGTGACAAATGGATAAGCTCAGCTAGGTCAATCTCCAGTCAACGCCTAGTAAAGGTCTAGTAAGCAAAGGATGATGCCGCTCCCTGGGCCTCATGGGGAGAAAAGGGGGGGGGGGTGTCTTTCTTTTTCACCTCAGTTGGGACATAAGCCACATCAGGCACCTCTGCTGGACCTGGAGATACATGAGAAACTGGCTCCATATTTTCCCCCCTACTTCAACTTGTTAAAAACACCAGCTCAGGTCAGCGAGGCACTCTAGAGCAGCGGTCGCCAACCTTTCAGACCTCTCGGACCACCAGGTCCGCGGACCACTGGTTGACAACCCCTGCTCTAGAGACAGGACCCCTCCCAGCACACACAACAGTTGGCCACCAGTGTAGGCCGTTTCATCAGAGCTGCCTCATTCTTTTTAATAGCTGCAGAGAGGCCCAGAGGCCTCCCCTTCTGACCCCACCCCAGGGGACAGACCTAGACAGTCTTTGTGAAAATCCTTTGCCACCATACCTGGCACCCAAGTGTGAGTCCATCTGCAAGATAAATTCCAGGACTCAGGATGCCTTTATGATGATGCAGCTCTAACTCATCTCTTCCTCACTAAGGGCTACAAGGCCCAGACCCCAGGCCCTGGGCAGGATGTCTGTGCTTCTGGAGCTGCCAGTATGATGGGAAAGGCCAAGGAGTGGCATGCCCAGAAGGGTGTGTGGACCATGGGCAACCAAGATTTAAATAAATGGAAACACATCCTGTGTTTATGGATCAGAACTTAATTTAACATTTTGTTCAGATGGCAGCACTCTCCAAAATGAGGTAGATTCAACACAGGCCTCCTCAGAATCCCAACCCATCCCCCACAATCTGACAGAAATTGACTAGCATCGTGAAATTCATATGGAAATGCAAGGGAACAGAATAACCAAAACAATTCTGGAAAAGAAGAACAAAATATGAGGACTCACACTTCACAATTTCAAAACTTATCACACAGCTGTGTGTACTGAACAGCGTGGCACTGGCATAAGGACAGACATGTATATCGCTGGCAAAGAGCTGAGAGTCCAGAAATAAACCCTCACATTTATGGTCAATTGAATTTGTCCAAGGGTGCCAAGACAACTCAATGGGGAAAGAATAGTCTTTTCAGCAAATTGGACAACTGGATAGCCACATGCAAAAGAATAGTGTGCTCCTTCCTACTCCCATCCACACAAAAAAATAACTCAAAATTGATCAAAGACCTCGATGTAAAAAACTAAAACGATAAAACTCAGAAAACAGAGGAGTCAGTCTCTATGACCTTGGATGAGACAATGGTTTCTTAGATGAAACACCAGAAGCACAAGAGACAAAAGAAAAAAATTGATGAATTGGACTTCACTGAAATAAAAAACTTTTGTGCTGCAAATGAGACCATTAATGAGCTGAAAAGGCAACCCACAGAATGGGAGGAAGTATTTGCAAATCATATAGCTGATAAAGCAGCGGTTCTCAACCTGTGGGTCGCGACCCCTTTGGCGGTCGAATGACCCTTTCACAGGGTTCGCCTAAGACCACCCTGCATATCAGATATTTACATTATGATTCATAACAGTAGCAATATTACAGTTATGAAGTAGCAACGAAAATAATTTTATGGTTGGGTCACAACATGAGAAACTGTATTTAAAGGGCCAGAAGGTTGAGAACCACTGTGATAAAGGAATGGTATCCAAAATATATAAAGAACCATGAAATCTCAACTATAGCCCAGCGTGCTCAGTGGTTCAAACCGATGAACCAGGAGATTCCGGTTTGATTCCTTGTCAGGGGTCAAAAGTCAGGGCTCGATCCCCAGTGTGGGGCATGCAAGAGGCAGCCCATCAATGATTCTCTCTCATCATTGATGTTTCTCTCTCTCTCTCCCCTCTCTCTTCCTCTCTGAAATCAGCAAAAATATATTTATAAAAAAAACCACACTCAATGATAAAAAGATGAATAACCCAATTTTAAAATGTGTAAATGATTTAGACATTTCTCTAAGGAAGCTATACAAATGGCCAGTAAAAACAAGAAAAATGCTCAATACTATTAGTCACCAAGGAAATGCAAATTAAAACCACAACGAAATACCATCTGGGATGGTGAGACTCAAAAAAATAATAAATAATTAGTGTTGTTCAGATGTGAAGAAATTTGAACTCCCAGATTCTGCAGATGGGAACATAAAATGGTATAGCCAAAGTGGAAAACAGTTTGGTAGTTCCTTAAAATGTTAAATGTGGAGTTACCATACCCCAGCAATGACATTCTCAGGTGAAATTTCACCGAAGAGAAATGAAACATGCCACACAGACACTTTTACACACATGTTCATAGCAGCACTGTTCACAACAGGAGAAAGGTAGAAACAACTGGAGAGTGCCTCAAGTGGGAAAGGACTCATCCATAAAAAGGAACAAAGCACAGAGACATGCTACATGATCATTAAAAACACCATGCTGAGAGTTTGGCTGAGAAACTGCAGCGGGAGAGAGAGTGGGGAGTTTGGGGAGGGAGAGTCGGGGGGGACCCCCTTCTGAGTTCTGGCCTCTCCTGAGGCCGAGTTGTGCAGCCACCCCAGTATCCCCCTCTCTCCAAAAAACACACCATGCTGAAAGAAACCAGACACAAAAGGATACACTGTGAATGATTCCATTAATATGAAATGTCCAGAAGAGGCAAATCCATAAAGACAGAAAGCAGATTAGTGGTTGTCAGGGTAGTGGAGAGAGGACCTAGGTGTGAGAGATGAGATGTGGGGGTAGCTGTCACTTTAGGAGCAGCAGGGATTAAAGGCAGCCTGAGCCAGCTTGGCATGCTCTGGGATGCTGGTGGTGAGTGGTCCAGGGAAAGAGGTGCCAGGCTTGGGGCCACAGTGCCAGGCTCAAAAGAGGCAAGGCTAGAGGAGGCCCATGACAACAGAGGATGAGGGTGGGTACAGGACAGAGCACAGGGTCTTTGCACTTGGGGTTCCATCCATCTGAGGAACTCCTCCTCAGAGAGGTCACTCAGGCCCTCCCTAGCAAAACAGGTCTTGGTTAGCTCAGGCCCCACCACTCAGTACAACAGGAAATTCAGGCGTGACATGACAGTGAATTCAAGACGAGGCCCACAGCCATGCGCACACTCAACAGTTAATGAATGAATGCAAGAGCATAAGCAAAGACCACACCAACGGAAGGGGTATCTTCCTCACACCTCTGCAGCCAGGAAATACTGGGGTGGGTTTGTATGTGTTACAATGAAAGTCATGTAAAAGGGATGTGATTAGGAGACCTAACTCCAGGCAATGGCATTTAGAGCCCGCTGCACTATGAATAGGAAGAGGATTAGTATAAAGGTATAAAGCAGTGGTTCTCAACTTTCCTAATGCCGCGACCCTTTAATACAGTTCCTCATGTTGTGGTGACCCCCAATTTCATTGTTACAAATTGAACATAATTAAAGCATAGCGATTAATCACAAAAACAATATGTAATTATATATGTTTTATAATTGGTCTTAGGTGATCCCTGTGAAAGGGTCGTTCGACCCCCAAAGGGGTCAAGACCCACAGGTTGAGAACCACTGGTATAAAGGGTGTGTTTATAGGTAAAAAAAAAAAAGATAAAAGATGCCAAGTGGGGAGGGCCCAAGGAGACCCAAGGGCTGGTCACACAGACCTTATACAGCACACTTGAGGGGTGCACTGGCCTGGTTGTTAGGACTCAGATTCGTTCAATGTGCTCTAGGATGAGTTGAGTGCCCATGTGGTGTCAAATCTATCTTTAACCTATTTTTGTATGGCCCTCCGGCTAAGAACACTTTTAGATTTGTAAACAGCTGTTAAAAAAAAAAAAAAGCAGCAGCAGTGGATAGAGACAATCTGGCCAATAAAGCATAAAATATTTATCTGGCTCTTTATAGAAAAAGTTTGCCAACCTCTGTTCTGGGATACATAAAAGCCAAGGGGAGGGGAAGGGCTTGAATTATCAATAGACAACTTTTCTACCGCCTGAATTATTTTTTTTACTATGCCCGTGAATTTTTTCATTAAAGCATAATTTGCAGATTTTAAAAAATATTTTTATTGATTTCAGAGAGGAAGGGAGAGAGAGATAGAAACATCGATGATGAGAGATAATCATTGATTGGCTGCCTCCTGCATGCCCATACTGGGATGGAGCCCCAACCTGGACACGTGCCCTTGACCGGAATCGAACCTGGGACCCTTCAGTCCACAGGCCAACCGTCTATCCATTGAGCCAAACCGGCTAGGGCTATATGCAGATTTTAATGTATTCACAATTGACTTGTTTTAAATTTCTTTGTATTTCTTTGTTAATCCTGGGTGTGAAGTATGGGCATCTTTTACTTTCTTACATTTTTCTGTGATGAACCCAACAACAAAATTTAAAAAAATTTTTTTTTTTATTGATTTCAGAGAGGAAGGGAGAGGGAGAAAGAAATATCAATGATGACAGAGAATCATTCACTGGCGGCCTCCTGAACACCCCACACTGGGGACCCAGCCGCAACCCTGGCATGTGCCCTGACCCGTATCGAACTGTGACCTCCTGGCTAATGGGTCGACTGCTCAACCACTAGTGACACTGGCCAGGAACGAATTTTAAAATGTTACTTAAGAATACATATTCCTGGACATCCTACGAGTGAGGAGCACCAGCAAGGAACCACCACAAAGAACATCTTTTAAATTCCTTCGGTGTCCCGGGTTTTGACCCCAGCTCTGTTCTGGGCGGCCCTGCGGGTGAGGTCGCAGCCTCTCGGGCCTCAGTTTTTCCACCTGTAAAACAGAAGCGTGGCCCAGGGCTAGGGGTTCAGGCTAAACTAACCTCAATTTAACCTACTGTGAAAAGGAAATAATTAACAGGACCGACTTCTGGGCTGTTCGGAGGAGAAATGAAAGGAATTAGTAATCGCTCGACAAATTACAGCAGTTATCGTTACCACGGACGCTAGGTGTACACCCAGACTCCGCCTCTCCTCACACCGCAGGTAGACTGAGGCCTGTCAGCCTCCCCAGCGCCCCGCCCCCGCTGCGGCGCTCCGGAGGCCCCGACCCTGACACCACGGCGCAGACGGACACTGACCCGACAGTCCCCGACGCGGAAGGTTCCGTTTGTAGTCGATGGGGCCGTAGCCCCCGGGCGGGGGCATGTCCTGCTTCACCTTCGAGGCCGCCATGGTCGCAGTGCTTTGTTTCCGGTCGCGGACGGAAGTGACGTAGCCGGCGGTCGCCGCCATGATGAATGTGGCGGAAGCGGTGTCGCAGGTCCCGGGTGGGGCCAGGGAACCCAGGACGCTAGTGTGGCGATCCTACTGCGCGGGAGAACTCGGGCTACGACGCCCGGCTGCAGCCGAGGAATCCGCATTTCTTCTCCCCGACGAGGCGTGGCTCAGCCGGTGTGGACGGCTGGAGCCTGTGGGGTCGCCCAGGTTCTTGCATCAAAGGACTTCCCTTTCACCTTCCCTCTGGGGCGATGCGCAGGGCACTCAAGCTCCGGAGGGAGACAGGTCACCGAGCTAAGCCCCCTTACCCGTTTTTCCCCCCTCTGGGTCTGTGCGGGCAACGCAGGGCTCCACATAGTCAAGGCTTGGTACAAGTAGTTGGGTGGGGGCGGCGGCGGCTCAAATTTGGACTCGCAAGGAGCCATCACCGCAACCCACCCCTGGCACAGATTCTGCTCCTTGGCGGGGGTCGGGAGCCCTTGGAAGTAGTAGCCTCTCATCAGGAACTGATTATGAGTCATAAAGCCCTAGGGCCTTGGGGGGTCCATCCCGAGGCGGGGTGACGCCCGCGGGGGCCCCCACCCCGAGGTAGGGTGACGCCCGCAGTCACTTCACAAGGCAGAAATTGTTACCTGGGTAATAAAAGGCACCGCGGCAGCGGGAACCCGGGAGTGGGCACATGGGGGTGCGGGTGTGCAGGTGCCAAGCGCCATGGGTTAGGCCCGAGATCGGAGTCCGGCCGCCCCCCGACAGCAGCCGCCTCCTGCTCCCCGTGCGCCCCAGGCGCCACCATGTCGGGCGACAAACTCCTGAGCGAACTCGGCTATAAGCTGGGTCGCACGATAGGTGAGGGCAGTTACTCCAAGGTGAAGGTGGCCACGTCCAAGAAGTACAAGGGAACGGTGGCCATCAAGGTGGTGGACCGGCGGCGCGCACCGCCTGACTTCGTCAACAAGTTCCTGCCCCGCGAGCTGTCCATCCTTCGAGGCGTGCGGCACCCGCATATTGTGCACGTCTTCGAGTTCATCGAGGTGTGCAACGGGAAGCTGTACATCGTGATGGAGGCAGCCGCCACGGATCTGCTACAGGCCGTGCAGCGCAACGGGCGCATCCCCGGGGGGCAGGCCCGCGACCTCTTCACACAAATCGCTGGCGCCGTGCGCTACCTGCACGACCACCACCTGGTGCACCGCGACCTCAAGTGCGAAAACGTGCTGCTGAGCCCTGACGAGCGCCGCGTCAAGCTCACCGACTTTGGCTTCGGCCGCCAGGCTCACGGCTACCCTGACCTGAGCACCACCTACTGCGGCTCAGCAGCCTACGCATCGCCGGAGGTTCTCCTGGGCATCCCCTATGACCCCAAGAAGTACGACGTGTGGAGTCTAGGCGTCGTGCTCTACGTCATGGTCACCGGGTGCATGCCCTTCGATGACTCAGACATCGCTGGCCTGCCCCGGCGCCAGAAGCGCGGCGTCCTCTACCCCGACGGCCTCGAGCTGTCCGAGCGCTGCAAGTCACTGATCACTGAATTGCTGCAGTTCAGCCCGTCGGCCAGACCCTCGGCGGGCCAGATAGCGCGCAACGGCTGGCTGCGCAACGGGGACTCCGGCTAAACCCGGAATTCCCACACACCCGCCGCCCCTAGCACTGCGCAAGCGCGGCCACACGCGAGAAGCGCGCTTCCAGAGTCCCGCGAAGCCGCCGCGCACCAATGCGCATGCGTCCTTTCCCCTTTCCTTCTTTCTCCACGGCGGGGGCCACAGTTGCCCCTATTTGGAATCTAGTTCCTCCTCCACGAACCGGAGAGCGCATGCGCGTCCTCGATTCCCCCGCAAGAAGGCCCCGGGAGGGGGCGAGACCAGAGGATGCTGAAGCATTGCGCCTGCGCGGACTGAGCGACTGCTCTGCTGTCGGAGGAGGCTGCCAGGTAGAGCTGCCCACTAGGGGACGCACGCTGAGTGCATCCGTTCCCAGCCTGCCGCGCAGGCCGCCGCGGGACGGCGCGCCCCGGGGCGCCACCCGCGTTGTAATTTGCAATAAACTCGCTCTACCTCGCACCTGGCTCTACTAGCAATGCCGCCCTTTTACGGAGCGGGGAGACCGGGTCGCTCCCCGGAAGGCGGGCGCGGGCGCCCCTTTTTAGAGAAAGGTTAAGGTTCTTGCTCCAGTTCTCAAAAGGGAGTTGTGGGATTCGTACCCGTACATTTGGGGCTCCCCCAGCCTGGGAAGAGTCGAAGGGACTTTGAAGTCGTTCCCAGGGTCGTGATGGTCCTGGGAATAGAGATGTTGGGCTAGGGAGCAAAGACCCAGCACCCTTCTCATGTTTTAAGAAGGAATGGCGTGGGTAGGTGGGGAGACCCTGTCTCGAAATCAACTGAGCATTTACAGATAAGGAAATTGATGTCACTGCCCATGAACACAGCTGGGATTTGAACCCAGATTTAGCTGAAGTAGGATAGGGAGGTGGTGGAAGCTCTCCTTAGTGAGGGCCCCTTTCTTAGGGTAAGAGTCTGGAGGGAAAGTCAAGGGTGGGGCATAAGTCCACTGGACCAGCTGATTTGTTCAATTCTCTTAATTCATGCATTTATTGAACTCCTTCTGTATACCAAGCTTTGGGACTCAAGAAAGAAGCTTAGATCCATCCCTGCCCTCAGTGAAGAGGCAAAAAGTCAAGTAAAAAAATTGCATGGAAATCTCTTAAAAATTGTAAGTTGTGCTAAATGCTGGGGGCGGGGGGTGGGGTAGAGGATGCCTGAGGGTTTGAAGGAGATATCTGAACTGAACCCTGAAGGAATCAGACACGAAATAGTGGAGTGTTTCACGAGTTCCCAAAAAGGATGGAGCTGGTGTGTTTGAGTAATGCCAGGAAGCCCCTGTGGCTGGAATGGAGAGGAGGTGGAGAGGTAAAGGTGTATGTCTGGAGAGGGGACCCCATATGGCCTGGGGGAGTTTGAGGGTTATTTTGTTATGAAGTTACTGGTATGGGAAACATCTCCCTAAACCAGTGATGGCGAACCTTTTGATCTCGGCGTGTCAGCATTTTGAAAAACCCTAACTTAACTCTGGTGCCGTGTCACATATAGAAATGTTTTGATATTTGAAACCATAGTAAAACAAAGACATATTCTTGATATTTATTTTATATATTTAAATGCCATTTAACAAAGAAAAATCAACCAAAAAAATGAGTTCTCGTGTCACCTCTGACACGCGTGTCATAGGTTCGCCATCACTGCCCTAAACCTTAATCCTGCCTGCTTCCATCTGAAGCCCATGACCAGTTTAAGGAGACTATGCCCCAACCCTGCTCATTCACTCTCCATGGCTCTCAGGTGCCCTGGGGATTAAGTGCCAGCTCTCCTCTCACCCCTTGAAATAGGCTGTGATCCCAACCCCTCGTTTTGCAGATGAGGAAACAGGCTAAGAGAGGGGAAGTGTCTTGCCTCCATCTGGCTTTTTCACATCTGAATTGAGACAGAAAAACCAACGTTTTGGTTTACACTAGAAGGGTGCCTTTCCTTACCTGGACCATATCTCAGGCTCTGCACCTGGAAAATGGGGGCAGAAACACATCCTTGGGGTTGTTGGAAAGGGCCGTGGTTTACTGGAGAACTGCACCTCAATCCTTCTCAAAGCTCCCACTTCACTCAGAATAAAACCCACATCCTCACCCATCTTCCTCACTGGCCAGCCACACTGCCTTTTTCATCCTCCACCTGCCAGGCTTGGTCACACCTCTGAGACTTTTCACTGGCTGTTCCCACTCCCAGCAATACTTTCCCCCTTTTCATTCAAGACTTGGCCTACAAGTTCACCTCCTTCTTGTCATTCCATTCTTTTCCCTCTTTGCCAGTCATAGGTTCAATCCCATTGCCTGGGGTGTGGCACATGCCTTTTTCTGTTCCTCACTGATGAATCTGCATGAGCAATGGGCCAAGGTATTCTTCCACCCCATGGCCATAGAGCCAGCTTAGTTTAGAAGGGACAAAATCTCAGGGAACCCGGTGGGTGTACCATTTGTTAGCTGGAGAAACAGATTCACCCCTGGGTCCGCTGAGGAGCCTGTGGCTGATCCAGCAGACTCACTTGAGGGCTGAGTGCAGAGCCCCTAAGAAAGCACTTTATAAGTGCATTTCCCGCAGCCAGTATTAGAGCGTGGGGCATCAGTAAGGATGTCACAGGTAGACTGTCTAGGTTTGGGTTTAATTTCTGTTACCAGTCATGCCTGCCCAGGTGAAACTGAGCTGGCTGTTGGGGAGGGCAATTAGCACCCACCACCAGAGGCAGGGATGCTTCAACAACAAAAACAAAAACCAGAAAAAAAAAAAAAAAGGAAGCACCTAGGAAAACACTGGTAACAGATTACCCAAGTGATCACAGGTCTCAGATAGTATGAAAAACTTGAAACAGTGTGAACCTCTAAAAACAAATTTTCACAAGCAATTGTTCATTTCAGGGCCTGGCTGGGTGGCTCCATCTGTACTTAAAACCTGCATCTCTAACACTGTGTCCTGCAGCAAAGACTTAAGTGGAGCCAAGCCTGAAAAGCACTCTGGAAAAACCACTCAGGGTGGCAACTGGAAGGGGCTAAGAGCCAGCCCAAAGGGAAAAACCCATTGGAGTCTCAGCCACTCCCCCAGGCCACAAAGCTCCTGGTTTTGGTGGAGATGGAGGCTCAGAGGTGAGAGCACAGTGCCCAGTTGGGGAGGACTCCCCCCACATGGGAAGTGAAGTCCGAAGGAAGCCCAAGAAGCAGATTTCTTATCCTTTGCTTCCACCTTAACAAAGGGTTACTCTGCTGCACTTACCCAGTTTCTAACCTGCCCCATACATGGACTAAACAAAGCAGGAAAACCAGAGCCGAGGGACAAAAGAAAAATATAGCCAACACATCATTTCTTTATTGTGCTTCAGATCTAAAACTTCCTTGTGACATCATGTATAGCCATTTATTCCAGCCTCTGTTTATGGAACTTCTATTCTCGTTTGGTGGTCAACTTTTTGGTTTTACATTGTCATCAAAGATTTAGTCAAAGTAAATAGAAGTGACCCACCTCCCCAAATCTACCTCCCTGCACTAGTGTAACTGTTTATTATACTTTGCTAAAGATTATAAAACTTTAGCTGTCATTTAAAAAATATCTATTTTTTCATTTATTTCAGAGAGGAAGGGAGAGGGAGAGATAGAAACATCAATAATGAGAGAGAATAATAGATAAGCTATCTCTTGCACACACCCCACTGGGGATCGAGCCTGCAACCCAATCATGTGCCCTTGACTAGAATCGAACCCAGGACCCTTCAGTCCACAGGCTGATGCTCTATCCACTGAGCCAAACCAGCTAGGGCATAGCTGTCATTTTAATAAAAGCTCGGTTGGAGTTCTTTAGGTAAATGTCATGTGCAGCATATAACCTGGCATAAAACAGACACACACACAAACACACAAAACCCTATGGTGCAACAGCAAAGACCATTCCCATTACTTACACCCCTGTGATGAGAATGCTTATATTACTTATACAGCAAACTCCTCCCCTTGTCTCTGCCCATAGGAGAGATGTGTGGGACACAGAGCAGGGCAGGGCTGTACTCAATAGCCTTTCATTTTCTCTGCACCTTTTGCTTCAGGATCTTGGGAGGAGAGTGAATCAGAGGCCCCTGGAGAAGGGCCATTCTCTGCCTTGTCAAAGGTGTGGTCCTGACTTCACAGTTGGGACAATGAGGACCAGAGGCCCCATGACATGGTCAGAATGGCCAAAGCCATGAGCAGCTCCAAGGGGGCATGCATGTCTGTGAACACACACATACGTACTTGGCCATTTCAAACCTGCTTCTCCACTAAAATGGGGAATAAGCTTTGTGAACCCCACACCCCAGTCCACGGAATGACTGACATTTTTAAGTTTCTAGTTGCTGTCAGAGGTCTGTGTCCCAGATAACTAGGGACCGTTAAAATTGTCATTTGAGCCTAGGGGCTCCTACATTCTCACTGCTTCTGGAAACCAGGTCTTCTCAGCTCCGACACTTCTGGGGGAAACCAGGACCCCAGCACCGTGGCAGATTTTTCAGGGGGTGAACTTTGCTGCTGAGAGAACTCACTGTTAACATCCTTTCCTAGTATATTCAAACCCCACACCCAGAGAGGTATTTAACAATGCCTTGTCTGAAACATCTTAAAGTCCATCACATAAATACCCATTTAGGGCTTATCATAGATGTTACAATGCAAAGTGGGAAACTGAAGAAAAAGGGGGTAGGGCGTGGAATTTTAAAATGGCAGAAATGAACTAAAGACTAAAGCAAGCATGTCAAAGGCCGCAAGTTTGACATGCTTGGACTAAAGCCTCTCAAGTTCTTGCCCTTTTAAAAAAAATTTTAGCCAAAACCGGTTTGGCTCAGTGGATAGAGCGTCGGCCTGTGGACTGGAAGGTCCCAGGTTCGATTCCGGTCAAGGGCATGTACCTGGGTTGCGGGCACATCCCCAGTAGGAGATGTGCAGGAGGCGGCTGATCGATGTTTCTCTCTCATCGATGTTTCTGACTCTCTATCTCTCTCCCTTCTTCTCTGTAAAAAATCAATAAAATATATTTTAAAAAAAATTTTAAAAGCAGTTCAGTCCTTTATTACCATCCTGTAGATGGCCAAAAAATTTTTTTAAACATATTTTTATTGATTTCTTTAAAGAAAATTTTTTTTATTGATTTCAGAGAGGAAGAGAGAGTGAGAGAAACATCAGTGATGAGAGAGAATCACCGATCGGCTGCCTCCTGCACATCCCCAACTGGGGATCAAGCCCGCATCCCGGGCATGTGCCCCTGAACGGAATCAAACCGGGGACCCTTCAGTCCGCAGGCTGACCTTCCATCCACTGAGCCAAATCGGCTAGGGCTATTGATTTCAGAGAGGAAGGGAGAGGAAGAGATAGAAACATCAATGATGAGAGAATAATTGATAGGCTTCCACCTGCACCCCTCCCCCCACCCCCACCCCCACTAGAGATTGAGCCCACAACCTGGGCATGTGCACTGACCAGTAATTGAACTGTGATCTCCTGATTCATAGGTTGACACTCAACCACTAAGCCACACCAGCGGGGCCTGCCCCCTTTTTAAAAAGTTACATTTCCATCATAGTAAGTTGTCCTTGATGGGAATGTGCCTGGGGATGCTAGGCTGGATGGAGAAGGCAAAGCCAGGGCCTGGCTGTCCTGTCCTCCGCCTGAGGTGGTCTGGCCCAGCAAGGTGAGGCAAGAAGTGGTTCCTGAGCGCGGTTGAGCCAAGTTCTGATGGGGCTGGGGATCAACATATGCCTCAAGTCACAGACCCAGTCAACCTGGATGGGAAGGTGGTGGCAACTTTAGCTGTCATTTTAATAAAATGCACCCCCCTCTAGTGCATGAGTGACTTTGGCCCAGACACCTGATTCAGTTACTGCATAGAACTGAGGTCTGTCTGTTGGGAGTGGCCAGCCCAGTGCTCCTTGTTGGACGATTTGGAGTTTGGCCCATGTAACTGAACAGAGAGGGCTAATAGCTCAGGGTAGTATATAAGACGGGTATTTATTTACCAGGCACACACATACACACACACACACACACACACACACACGCACGCAAGAAATAGAAATGCTTGCATACTCTGAGTTTTTGGTGTATAAGCACATCCTTTCCCCACATTCCTGAATGTTAATT